TCCCCCCACACTTAAGCACGACATTGCCCTCAATGGAGTAGAGGGAAAGATAAGGGGAACGAAGTTACCGGGTAAGAACACTGCTGGGGGACTGGAAGTGGACCAGTCAGCGGGCTAGCATCAGCAAAACACACTGGGTGATAGAAATCATAGTTCCAAGTAGACAAACCGACAAAAACAACCGAAAGAAAAACAAACCTTGGTGGGGTTGCCTCCCCACAAGCGCTTCTTTTACGTCTTAGCTAGACGGTGGCTCCTAAGGTTCGGTCCACCCCAAAACCTCCTTGAAGTTAGGTTCTCGTCGATAATGTGGAGTCTCAAGTCACAAGCAAGTGAAGTGATAGGTGATGAAGACGGCTCGTGACCTTGAGGAAGGTGAAGTCTCCACTCACGAGACCTCTCCTTCGCATCTGCTCTTGTCTCATTGCCCCAAACCAGATAAGATATATTCGATTGATCACCATCGTATCCACCAAGAGGGATTGATGTTGATGTGGTCTTAGTTGGGCAAAGAGACACTGCAAATGGGTCCTTGCCAAGCAGCTCCTCGAAGTTTGGTGGAGAGATCAAATGTAACATAGACCCGGTGCAAGCCTCTCCCACCTCAACTTCATCCTCAACCTGGACGCCAATTGCCTCCACAACCCCCCTTCCTTCTTCAAAATGTGGTCTCTCCCCTTGGAAAATATCAAGAACTACCTCTTCGTTACTTCCTTCCTCATCCTCCACAACTTCCTTCCTCATCCTTGCTCGCTCTTCTTCTTCCAGAACAGATTGGAGAGCAAGTCGCCAAGCAATTTCTTCAATGGGATCATCTTGCCTCTCCTCGCACAGGCCCAGCATGCTACAGCATAAATGAGGAACGGTGTGATCTGCCACCAGAGGACTTTCCTGATCATGATCATCATGGGATTTCTCTGTGATAAACTCTGTAGGCTCATCAACGCCCCCGTTGCCCTTGACATCCTCCGCCTCTTCTAGCGTAGTAGCAGAAAGGTGATCTTGAGCAGGATGTGAGCAAATTTGCTTCACCCACTCTGTTTGCTTCGCTGAGCACTGAACAGTCTGCTCCAAGTCATGGAGCAATGAGGGATCGGAAGAGGCAAGGGCTTGGATTTGAAGATCCATCTTGGAGCATGTTTTCTCAGCGTCTCAAGCAAACTGCTCCACGAGAAGTCTTAATTTTTTGTTTGGATCTTCCAGTGAAGTGTAGCATGGCTCTGCAGAGTGGCCCGCGAAGGTCTCCATGGCTAACTCCAACTCAGATGGCCCCTCTGGTTGTGGCAGGAACTCTTCTTGAAAAGGGTATTGTTCTTGAGGTTCCCAAGGGTTTGGTTGTTCTCCATAATAGGGGGGTTGGTACTGACATCCGACTCCATAGTCTTCTCCTCCTTGATTGCTCCAGGAGGTCTCGGGGTAATACCACACGGATGGTGGTTGATACCCCCAATGGTTGTAGAGGCCATGAGGATCCATGTTTCAGAGCTGCACCAACAAAAACATAACACCCAAGTGAAAAGCAAGGGTGGAAAAGAAAAGAAAGTGCAATAAATAAAAAGCTAGAGTAACAAATTCTCACGTTTCCCCAATAATCTAGAGGTTCCCCGGCAACGGCGCCAAAAACTTGACACGCTAAAACACAACACCTAACAATGGCCAAGTGTAACCAATGAAAGGGACTGCAGTAACAGGCAAGTTTAATTATCAACCCGGGGTCTAGATCTACTTCTTACTCCGTGATTCTCTATTATCTAGCAAACTAAGTCGAGTGATTGTTGTGAAAAGTAAAAGCAACAAGAAAGCAGTAAATTGTTCGGGTTTCTAAAGCAGGCAAGAGTCACTCGGGATTGAGTCCCCCTAGCCCCTTAGTTAGGTTCAATTGCAATTCCCTGGGTTGATTTACTGTTGATTAGACTGCGGAAGATCCGACAGTAGCTTGGAATCTCTTAAGCTGACCAAGCCCTCTCAGTCTAACTACCCGGCAGACGACTAGTCTTCACCGGGATAGAAAGCTGAGGCTATGAACACAGAACTCCACTACTGGCGCCAAGAACACCAGTACAAAGCAGTAAACTGGCTAACTCTCGTATAGCCAATCTCCTGCTATCGAATGAAGAGGCTCTAACAACCTAATCAGATTCTATCTATCTCAGGTTGAAGCAGAAATTGAGAAAAGCTGATCAGACTCAAATCAATTCATTAAACATGCGTCATTCGATTAAAATCAAACAGTAATATCATCCCAAGTCATTACAATCAAATCCCTAACACAAGGAACTAGGGTTCTTCATACCCAAGTGAGAGAAGGGTTCTACTCCATAGAGAGAGAAGAGAAAACAAGAATCGGATTAGTCATACTCATAACGATGAGGATAATCTGCTCCGGGACGATGATTTTCACTCCTATGACGATCTCCAAGCTCGATTCGACGAAATCCAGCTCTAAGACAGCTTCTAGGATGTGTTCTTCGCACTTTCTCTCTCTAGGGCTCTGTTTTTGCTCTCAAAACACGATTCTCCCACTTCTGGCTAGGAATAGGCTCTAAAACAGGCTTTCCCGACTCGCACGGCCAGGGTGCACGGCCGTGCACATCACCATTCTGGCCGTGCAAGTCAAAACGCGCCGTATCATTAAGTCCAACCTCAGCTTCTCGCACGGTCAGGTGCACGGCCATGCAGGGATCCCGGCCAGCCCGTGCTCGGCCTCGGCCAAAACCGCACGGCCAGGGTGCACTTTGCACGGCCGTTTGGTTTCCATTGCTTGCTCGTGCTCCTCCTCGGCATAAGGCGCACGACCATCTTGCACACGTGCACGGCCGTGCAGCCTCCCTGGTCTGCCCGTGCAGCTCCCCAAAAACCTCGTCATTCGTCCGATCTTCGTCCAATCGACCCCAGAATCGCTCCTAAGCCTTCATTCACGTACTAGGACCTGAAATATCACAAACAAGCACAACCTAGCGTGAAATCGGCCTAAAACACTAGAATCAACACCTCAAACGGTGTAAGAACGGGAGTAAAAACATGTGTAAATGATGGTCTATCAACATCGCTTGAAATCCCAACCTCCAAATGATACCAAAGTTAAAAACATATAATGACTAGTTACGAAATTGAAAAGAAAATCAGGAGAGGTAAATACAATTAAAAACTGATCATGAAATTGAAAAGAAAATCAGGAGAGAGGTTGTGGGGGAGAACAAATTTTAAACAAAATAATCACAAAACATATAATCACTAGTTACGAAATTTAAAAGAAAATCTGGAGAGAGGTAAATACAGTTAAAAACTAATCATGAAATTGAAAAGAAAATTAGGAGAGAGGTTGTGGAGGAGAACAAATTTTAAACAAAATAAGCACAAGCTGGAGGAGAACAAATTTTAAAACTCACTACCATTTTTAACAATTTCTACAAGTCTAACCACTGCACTACACTAGTTCTTTGTGCTCATACTTCACTTCCGCTGGTATTTAAAAGATTAGGAGGGGCTGGCTCCGTCCCTGACCTATATAACAAAAATTAATTAAACCTTAAAACAAAAGAATTAGACTATGAGGGAGACTTAGGATGACTTACCAACGAACCCATCACAACACCTTGCTTTGACACCCATCTAAGCATAAACTTCCCATTCCACTGCATGTACCCATCGTGGTAACGCATATGTCTCGTCTCCGGCATCCTTGGACCACCCAATTCCCTCTATTCTCCCAAATGTTGATGTAGAATTGATGCTTTACAAGCCAATTCTTTGCCGAGTGTCGGAGGTCGATGGCATGGAGCTCCCTGAAACCTTGAGGTGGGGTTTGTGGAATTGGTTGCTCCAATCGATATTGCCTCAAGAATCAATCGGGTAGGTGCAACTCCATAATGTGCCAGCAGATCAATGGCATCTTGCACAACCACGTCTTGTGATCCTGGGGGTGTCTCAGATGATGCAGCTCGACTACTTCATGTGGATATGGGTCCCATGTAACCTGTACTCATTAATAATTTGCAATTAGCGACCAATTACATTCACAATAAATTAATCCGTTAAAATATTGTAAAGCATGATTACCTGGTTCCACCAAGGCTTATCACACTCGGCACGATAAAACAGTAAAGAGTACTCAGGTTGATGGTCGTTTGCATTTGTTCTTATCTACCTTGTAAGTAGAAGTACATATATAAGAAATTTTTGGAGCATTGAATAAATTTAAACTTGGGTTAAGCACGAAATAAATTTAAATCTAGCTAATGTAATTTAAAGCAAGCAAAGCATGGACTAAATTTGCAATTAGGATAAGTACGGAATAAATTTAATTTAAATCTAGCTAAGCATGGACTAAATTTGTAGTTAGGCTAAGTACGAAATAAATGTAATTTAAATCTAGCTAAGCATGGAATAAATTTAAATCTAGCTAAGTACAGAATAAATGTAATTTAAATCTAGCTAAGCATGGAATAAATTTAAATGTAGATAAGTATGGAATAAACTTACTTCACACCATAGGGAGGATTTTTGCAGATTTCGTAGCTCATCATCTGCTCTCCAATATGGACATGGGTCTTCAGGTGCGAACATTGGAAGATCCTCCCATACCCAGAGCTAGAGGATGAACATCGCAGCACCAGCTTGTTTCGCTCCTACCTTCGAGCAAGTACACAGCTCCCTATATATGCCAGCTAACACGACTGATCCCCATCTCTTTTCCCCCATCGCGTCCCAGTCACCAAGGAGCATTGGCAACTATATGCCTTGAATCCACCGGTTCGACTTGTCGGGGAACAAAAATCCTCCGACCAAATCAATGAGGTAGATGCGTGCATAGAGCTCCACTTGATCTTCCGGAGTCTCTTGGCCGATTTCAATCTCACTTTGGATGTGAGTAACAAGCCATGGGATCGACACTTGTCCCGCATTCAATGTTGGATGCCCCCGTCCTTGAATTGGTCTCGTGGTCAGCATGTCAAAGCACAAACGATCACGAATGAGCGGACCCCAACCTGCATCGGGTTTGGTAGTGGTACCAATGATGGCATCTCCAGTTATCGGCAGCCTGGTGAGAATCGCGACGTCTTTGAGGGTGATCGTCATTTCCCCCTCCGGAAGGTCGAACGTATGGGTTTCGGGGCACCATCGCTATGCCATTGCCGTAAGCAGATCGTTGTTGATTTCAAGCCGCATTAAATGCCTCAACATACCCAACCCAGTCCTCTTTATATACGGCGACAGTCGATCATGCCAAGCGGGCAAGTTAGTAGTCCCTTTATGAATGACGGGAATAAGTGATTCCTACAAAAAAATAGAAAAAACATAGATTTGTTAGTTAAAAGAAATCAAAATAAAACCTTACTAAATTATGAAATAAAGTAAATTGTTGATAAGGTACGTAGTATTTACCGGTTTGTTGTCCCAAATTGCACGGGAGCGATGTGCTGCTTGATCGGTTAAATACTTCGTATCTCTTGGCCTATAATGGATATACAATCGAGGATCGTATATCTCGGCACCCATCTATAAATAAAAGTAATGAAATCAGATTGTTTTGATTAAAGAAATCACAAAATCAAATTGGAAAGAATAAAAAAATCACAAAAGAAAAACCAAGAACCTACCCGAAGAGCCTCTTCGTCCATTTTTTTTTTGGCAAAAGTCGGACAGAGGTTTGACGGGTTTTTAAGAGACGAGGGCTTTGGGTATATAACTCTAAAAATTCTTTCTGATGTGGAAGATCAGACTTAGCCGCAACCACAGAGCATACTTAGAACGAGACTAGAGAGGATGAATGAAGGGCAAAAGAAGTGTAATGTGGTGGTGTGATTTGAAGGGGGGGGGGCGGAGGGAGGGGAAAGGTTCAATTTATAGGGCGAGGGATCTTCCGAAAATCAATGCAGAGCAATCACGAGGGACCCTGTGAGGCGTCAGATCTGGAAAGAAAACCAAAATTCGCGCCTCACTGCATCCAACGGCAGCGGTGAAGCCCCGCGCGACGCCGATCACTGACGTGGACAGACGCGGGTTATTAACCGTTTTTTACTTACGCGGTGAATTCCCCACGTTTGTCCGCGTCAGCGATCCGAGCCAGATTCACCATGCCAGTCAGATGCGGGGAACTAGTCACCGCTTTTATTTAAAATGGTGAATGCGTTCACCGTTTTAAATGAAAGCGGTGATTGGTTCCCTGCATGTTCACTGTTTTTCTTAGCCGCGGTGAAGCTTTCACTGTTTCATCAAAACGCGGTGATTTGTTCACCGCTTTCGTAAAAAACTGTGATGTTGTTCACTGCCTTTGACAAAGGCGGTGATTGTGAAACATGTATAGATTGAGAATTTTTTTTATAACTTATGTATTTTTGGAATTTTTTAAATTACTAGTATATTTTGGGATTTTTTCCTCATTTAGGAGTCCGAGCAAAGAGGTGGTTAGGTCATGACGTCAGGCTGATGTGGCAGAGTGTAATATCCAGTGCTGTATAATAATTGATATTGGTTTGATTGAGTGAAGGCTAAAGATTTAAGTTCAGTAGTTGTGTTAAATTTGGTTTTGTGCGTGATGGTGGGATATCATAGCTATGTTAAACTAGATTAGGGCCCGCCCGTTGGTCGGATAAATTTATCAATGATATAAATGATAAAACTATTTGAGTTGAGACATGTTTTATTTTATACAATAAAAATTCCTAAATTATTTAATCACCAGAAATATAAAATACTATATTCATATAATTTTCAGACATGTTAACCGATTCATTAACAAAAATCCTTACTAAAGTGAAAAAATTCTTGCAAGAGTCGACTCCTAGAAAAAATAATTAACTCACACTATTTTCTCCTCGTTTTCAAGTATCTAAAAATTAATTTTGAATTTCTTTGTGATCACTCCACCATCAAAAGCATCATAATCCATCGATAAAAATGCTTTAGTCTCCATCAATGAAACATTTTTCTTCACAGTAGAGTCTTCCTTATTTTCTACATTTTATTTAAAGCTAATCTTTGATGTTAAAACAATTTCAAATTTGAGATGCTATTTTTATGCAATAGAATTTACATCATTCAAGTCATAAACATTTTCTCAGATTTTTCTTTCCCTAACACTAATGAGCAACCTAACGACCAACACAAAATCTGATAGCCATTCATAATTTTTTTTTATAACCTATAGATTGAAAACTTTATGAATTGCCCGTAAAAGTGTTACGTAATAATTTAGATTTAGGTATGCGCAAATATGAAACACGACAATTTGTGTGATGAAGCTTCCACAAAATTCTTTTATGGAAAATAATTCTATCTGCAGATTTTGTTGTCTAGTTTGTCAAAATGGCATGGGAAAGCTTAGTTGTGGATTATGTAATTACATCTACCAGGAATGCCATTTTCTACATGTGGTGGTTTTTATACATAATTTTTATATCATGAATTTACGTTATTCAAGTCATAAACATTTTTCGAGACTTTTCCTTTTTAACACTGATATGCAACCCAACGATCAACACAAAATTTGATAACCTATAAAACTTAATGAATAGCCTGTAAGAATGTTCTCTAATTCATTTTTTTTATCGAACTCTAATTCATATTTAGGAATGTCCAAACTTGTTACATAAAAATTAGTACGATTAAGCTTCAAACAAATTCATTAATAGAAAATAATTCTAATTGTAGATTTTGTTGTCCGGTTTGTCAAAATGACTTAGGAAGGCTTAGTGGCCGATGATGGGAATATTTACATCTCTAAGGAATGTCGTTTTTTATATGTGGCAGTTTTCATATATAATTTTGTATATCATGAATAGTTTTTGGTAGAGTTTGCAGTTCAATTTTAGGTATGTAGAGCTCAAATATGAAGAACAACAAATTATACAATTTCAAATTTTTGTATGAAAATACATGTATATGCAGATTTTGTTGCCCAATTCGTCAAACATCTTAGGAAAGTTTGGTGGTCGATGATGAGAACAATTACGCCTCCTAGTAATGCCATTTTCTATCGATGGTGGTTTCTATTTTAATATTTTAAATGAGAAACTGAGCAACGAGTACGATAGTCATTCTAGGTTGATTTTAGGCAAATTAAGAGTTACGTCAAAGTTTTGTCATCAAGGTGAGACCAGTTTTATTGACAGTCTAATGGAAATTTGACACTGATGGTGCAATTAAAAATTGTCACTTAGATCAAGTACTACAATAGAAAAATTGATAGTTCCCGAATGCTATTGTATACGATGCTATAGAATGCTCGACTAACAATTTTGTTACAAAATATATCAAAGTGTATATGATGTTTGTGTAACCTGATTAATTTGATTTTATGTTAAAAAATTATTGTCCAAATTAAAACAAATGATGAGATTATACACCTAACCAGGTTATAGATGCATAGAAAAATTACACACCGTTACTAATAGTAAGAATATATAAACATGAATAGCAATTTCGTCTGCTTTTGCCAGCCTGCATGTTTTTGGTAAGCTTCCTACTTGGATATTTCACTCTGCTTGTTTTAATCATATGATGGGTAATGGTTCTGCACTTAAGCAACTTCATCCGGTTGTAAATGTGTCGTTACAAGTTACTAATGGTGGGAGGTTGCATGTATCTGGCATGGGTTCGGTTCACACTTCTGGTATTGATTTGCCCTCCACATATCATGTGCCTAAATTGGTTCCAAGTTTGGTTTTTGTTGGTCAGGTTACTGACCAAGGTTATCGTGTTACGTTTGCACCATCTGGCTTTGTGGTACAGAATCAGAAGACTTGGAGGGAGATCGGGCGGGATAGCAAAAAGGGTTAGATTTTTTATCTCGAGCAGCTTCATCCTCCGTCATCATCATTGGTGTCGTCTGCCCCAGCCACTTCACGTCCTTTGTCTCCTGTTTTGGCATGCTCGGTTGGGTCATGCATCCAAAATCTAGTCGTGTTATGACCATGATTAAGCAACATTTATTTGGGGATAATGCTTGTGCTCCTCATTTTTTGGATTTTTCATCTACTAGTTGCATTGGGACTAAGACTACATGTATATCTTTTCCGTCTAGTCTTATTGTACTTGATTCGTACAGACCTATGGGGGGGAGTCTTGCTAATTTGCGCGTGGGTTATAAGTATTTTGCCTTGTTCATTGATCATGCTACTAGGTACACCTGGGTTTATTTTCTCTGACTAAAATATGATCTTTTATCTGTTGCTACCGAGTTTCTTGCCATGGTTAAAACCTAGTTTGATAGGAGTGTTTGTGTAGTCCGTTCTGATCCCGGAGGTGAGTTTAGTTATGGTCCTTGGCATCCTGCCAGAAAATCCTGTCTCGGTGTGTCACAACAAAATTGTTTGGTCGAACATAAAAATCACCATGTTTTGGAGGTTACTCGAGTTCTCTTACTATTCTCCTTTGTTGCTACCGCTGTTCGCCTAATCAATTACCAGATCACCCCTGTCCTTGGTCAAACCAGTCATTATACGCGTCTTTGCCATAAACAACCTCCGTATTCTTGTCTTCGTATCTTTGGGTGTCTTTGTTTTGTTCTCTGATAGACCGATAATTACACATGTTTTCACCCCTATTCTGAAGCCGTTTGAGATGTGGATTCTCGTGTTTTAAGCCGATTTCACGCTAGGTTGTGTGTTTATGTCATATTTCAGGACCCGGCGTTGGAACCGAGGCGGAGAAACGAGTTCTGGGTCGAAAGAAGCAAAGTTGGGACGAAGTGGGCTGCTGGAGGAAAATACCCGGCCATGACCAAGAATACCCGGCCGGGTATTATCATTTTGGGCGCCCGTGAGAATCAGAGAGGGGCCCGGGCGTGAAGGTAAAATCCCCGGTCGGGGATTATTGGATCAGACCGGGGATTTTCCCTCGACCAAAACGCGCGTTTTAAATAATACCCGGTCGAGACCCAAAATACCCGACCGGGTATTTCGACCGGGTATCGCGACAGGCAGCCAATTTAAAGGAGAAGAAGGCCAACATTCAAAGGTTCGCATTTTAGAGAGAAAGAGCGATTCCTAGAGAGATAAAGCGATGAACCAGAGTTCCCAAGTGCCATAGCTTGATCTTCATCACCATTGGAGCTCGGCTTGAGCTTGGAGAAGTGTCGATTAACGTCCAGAAGCAGAAATCCATCTTCACAGTATGATTTCCGTGTCTGAATCTGTTTTTGCTTCTCTCTCCATGGAGTAGTTTCCCCATTCATCTGGGTATGGGGAACCCTAGATTTGTATGCTAGGTCTGATTGTATGAACCCAAGTACAGAGTTTATGAATTGATTATATTCGATTGAGGTTTGAATGATTGAATGACTTGAATCCTGATCAAATTCCTGTTGTTTCTGCTTTGACCTAGAATGAGAATATCTGCCTAGGTTGATAGAGTATCCTTAATTGAAGGTAGTGAATTGGCGACTTTAGTCGAGGAGCCAATTCGCTATTCTGTACCGAATTCAATTCGGTAGTGGAGGTTTGGTTTGTTAGGGCCTCAGTCTGTTTACTCTGGTGGAGGTTAGTCGCCCGCTAGAGACTCAGATTGAGAGGGTCTGGAGACCTTTAGTCGAGACTTCAGACTG